GTCAGAGTGGCACTAGGTAACTGGAACACTTACATTAGAAAAACTGTCCAGTCCCCTTGGTGGACCACAAGTACTTTATTTGCATAGTCCTACCGAATTATTTGTGAGAGTCACAAGACCAAGCTAAAAGGGTCATATAATAGTAATTCACTGCACTATAGGTACCAAGCTCCAAATTTAATTAGGAAAATATCTATGATCTACAGTATAGCCCTGGGAAGGGTGTTGTATATAATAAAGCAATGTAAAACAGCATGCTGTCACAAAAATTTAGGTGTTACTAATCCTATGCATTTAGGAATAAAGTTTTAAAACCTGGCTATGAAAAAGATGGAAAACAAAAGCCCTTTCAGCTTTCTTACTTACTAGCTTGAATAATTTAATTCGATTTTATAATATGAGTAGGAATCAATGACTGCTTTTAGTTTTTCTATTTTGGGTGAAAGGTAAGTCACTGAATAATTCTGGTGGTAAATTGCCAGGTAGAGAAAACAACTATTTAGAATTACTGTATAAAAGTCTGGGCTTTTTGTAAAAGAAATTTCATGTTGTTTTTGATTTAGGGAAGGGCTTCATAAAAATCAGCTGCTTGAAACTCACAAACCATAAGGTACTTGACCCAGGTAAAGCAAATGCAGAATGGTAGGGTGTAAATAGTTCTACCACCCTTATATGCACAAATAAATAAGCTGGCAATTTTAAACCGAATAAGATTTTTAATCATCAAATAACTTAGCCATCTGGTTAGGTCAAGACCCATCTGTAGGCTAGAAAGACTGTTTAAAAGGCAAGGTGATGGCAATAGATGACTCCTTCCCTTTTCTAACCCACCTCATTATCTGTGCTCACATCTACCCTCGGCCTTGGGTATGATGTGCTCCTAGATGCCTCGCCCTTCAGGGGAGAATTTCTGCTGGTGGAGAGATGGTGATTTCTTTCTGAAGAGGAAAAGGAGACTGAGAGGCATTGGCAAATCCCTTAGGGGCATCGCAGACTAATTAAATCACTTGTATTTATTTATTTAAAGGTCCCAAGGCGATTTTCAACTTTGAAAATCCTTGTTTTTAGATCAGCGGGTCTCATTTCAGTCTCCATCCAAGTCACCTGGAGAGCATGGTTAAAATTACAGGATGGTGGGCGCAGTCCTCAATATCTGATACAGAAGATGGGTAAAAGGCTTGATAATTTCCATTTTTAACAGGTTCCCAGATGATGCTGACACTGGTAGTTTCAGAACCAGTGTTGGAAGAATTTGGCTCTGGTTATTTATTTTTTCTGGAGTTCAACTGGGGGTGGCATGGTGGGGAGGAACGAAAACTGCTAGGAGAATACAGCAACAATTCCAACTTCAAAGCTGAAATAGGAACTGGCAATGGCCACTTCGTCTCCCGTCTCCCTTGTTAAAAGTCTACTACACAGCTTGAGGAAATAAAGGTTTTTAAGGATCATGTGACTTGCCCAGAGTAGGTCTAGACTATCCGTTTTAGCTGCCCCATTAGGGTCAACAACCCAGGCTTCTCTCCCGCAGTCAACACAGTTTAATTCATTAATCTTTCTCTCCTCCCCTGCCCCGCCCCCGTGTCCTTCCGCAGCTGCGCATGCAAACCTCGTGCACCAGGCGTTCAAAACGCACCCGGATGCATTCCTCTGTGCCTCAACGCATGCCGCGTAGACGGGAGGCAGTGAAACTACCAGCATGGCCTTTGCCAACCCTGTGGTAAGGACGAGCCCAGTCTTTGGTCTGAGCACTGTGTCGGGGGAATGCCCCAGGACTCTGGATTTATGATTATAGGCAGCCAGGCCTGGTACATCCCTTTTTTTACACTGGTCCTTCACAGACTTTCAGAAACCTCATCTTCCTCACCTTTGTGTTGGAGGAAGTTAAGAAGAACAGTGAACCGGAAGTTGGGCTTTGCCCCCCCCCCCCTTACTGGAAAAGCTAGTGTTCCTCTTCTCCCTCTTACTTCTTAATCAAATTGAGAGAGCCCCGGGTGGTGCTCTGGAGCAGTTCTGCATACGTGGGGTCTCCCACTCAACGTTAGCTAACAACTGGTTGGGGTACTTAGTAGGTGACTCGTGTGGAGCTCATCCTTAGCCTCCATAGGAATGACTTGGAAAATTGTACTCTAATTTTCTTATCTTTAGTAGGAGCATTGTTAACTCCAACCCATATTGTTTACTAACATGAAAGACCAGGTAATGTGATATTTCATGTTACCCAACCACATATTTTGTAGCCCCCTTCTTTAGCATCTTAATGCTTCTATGTACAGTTTAAATTCTTAATACATAAATGTACAACTTAAAACATTTTTTTTTTTAATGGACAACTACCTGAATCTCACAGTGAGAATTTATAGGATACATAGCATTTTAAGACCCTCCATGAATCTTAAAAACCTGAATTAAAAGACAAAAAAAAAAAAGGTTCACTTTTATTTTTAGTTGATCTCAACGTATTTCACATTTTGTGCAAGGCAGTATGTTCATACCTGTGTCATTATATATGTTCCCTGTATTATGCATATCTGTATCTATTTCTGATGTTAGTGTGCTTTAAGATATGTAAAAGACTTGAATATAACTTTACCATGTTTACCATTTTATCTGATGGTGAACTTCAAGAAGGAGTGTGTGTTTTCTTTTAATAACTCAAACCAAACCAAACTCATTGCCACTGAATCAATTCTGACTCATGGCGATTCTCATTGGGTTTCCAAGGTGGTAAATCTTTAGGTAAGTAGATTGCCCAGTCTACCTCCCATGGAGTCACTGGTGGGTTGGAATCACCAGCCTTCTGGTTAGCAGTGAAATGCCTTAAGCACTGTACTGCCAGAGCTCCTTCCTTTAATAAAGGTGTTAAAATTATTTCTGGACTGTACCCAGTTTGGGAGCTCTGGTGTTGCAGTGGTTAAAGCATTTAGATGCTAAATGGGGAGAAAAATGAGACAGTCTACTTCCTGAAAGACTTAGCCTTGGAAACCCTTTGGGGGCAGTTCTTGTCTGTCCTGTAGGGTTGTTATGAGTTGAAATTGACTTGAGGCAATGAGTTTGGTTTTGTTTTTTCCTACACAGTTTTAGCAAAGATATCAGACTGGGAGAGCAATATAAAGTCTTAACTGTAGTCCTAAAAGAGAAAGTATGTTCATTACTTATTTTGCTTCTGAAAAATTGTTCTAATGAATTCTTTTTTGACTGCTGCTGTTACGCTCTGTGGGAGAAGGCTGAGGCAGTCTGCTTCTGTAAAGATTACACCCTTGGAAATCCTATGGGGCATTTCTACTCTGTCGCATGGGGTCGCTACTCTACTACAGTGAGTTTGAGGTTGGCTCAGATGGCAGATCTTAAAAGATGTTTTTAGCCCTAGGAGTTTTCTTCCCCCCAGTTTTAAATGTGATCACACTAGCTGGGACTAGGCCTGAAGCATTGATTAAGTAAGCATTTATCAGGGTAAACTGTTCTAGAAGAAGTAACTCCTCTAGGGGCTAGTATTCCTAATGGATATGCTTATGAATACTTTATTATTCAAATATTACTGATTGGCCTATTCGTAGGGTTACCCTAGATCTTTGGAAGGTTTAGTTTTAAACCTAACTGCTGTTGACATGAGCAGGAATATTTAAAGTGTTCATGAAAAAGCAGTCGTAGGATGCAACAATTTTCATTTTGGCCCGATTAAGCAATTTGAAATAAGAGCATCTCAACTAAATTCTTGTTTTGCCTTTTTTTTTTTTTTTTAAATCAATGGAACTTCCCCCTGGTCAGTATTGTCAGCATACTCATTGCCATTTTTGGTCTAGGGTAGGGGGGAGAGAGCACAATTTACATAGATTTGAATGACTTTTATTTCATAGACTTATTACTCTATTGATAAAACCAATGCTTAATCTGAATAGAAATCTACTTAATATTATTGTCATGGCATGTTTTTATTAGGAAGCATATTAGAATGGTTGTTAGCCCATGTAATATGTCGACCGTGAAAGGGTAAGGTTGGTTCAAATCCTTTAGTTTCTGTTAGGAAATCTGTTTTGGTGCAGTTTTACTTTTACTTGACAATACGTCCTAATACTTTTTGGAACTAAGTGTTTTGGAGTAGGGCAGGTTTGGTTACTCTATCTTAACTGCTTGCTCCAGTAGTTTATATTTGTAGAAATCATGTAGTGAGCCATAATGAATTCTCTTTTGGCCTCTATGAGAAAAGGTAAAGTGAAAACAGGTTTACTTCCAGCTGCCTTAAATTAATTTTCCTTTCTCAAAGGAATGGGAAGGTTAAATATCGATACAAAAGCCAATTGACGTAACAGTAACCATACATCCTTAAGAGATTATGATCGCATGTGTTATTGTAGTCCTTCAATTTAGCCTTAGGAGCCTTGGTGGTGCAGTGGTTAAGCAATTGGCTGCTAACCAAAAGGTCAATTGTTTGAACCCACCCGTCAGCTGTTCTGTGGAAGAAATATGTGGCAGTCTGCTTCCCTAAATATTCCAAACAAAAAACCAAACTCACTGCCATCGAGTCGGATCTGACTCATCGCAACCCCTCCTTGGGTTTCTGAGGCGGTATCACTACATAAGTAGATTGCCTAATGTTCCTTCTGAGGAGTGAGTGGCTGGTGGGTTTGAACCACCAGCCTTCCGATCAGCAGTCAAATGCCTCAGGCACTACACCACCAGAGTTCCCTCCCTAAATATTACAGCCTTGGAAACCTGCTGGAGCAGAGCAGTTCTACTTTGCCCTATAGGGTCACTATGAGTCAGAATCAACTCGACAGCAGTGGGTTAATTTAGCTTTGCAGAAAGGCTGAGACTGTGGGTCTGAAGCTAACACAGTTTATGGGAAGGAAGGTAAGATGATACTGAGAGCAGGCTGTGATTAGAAAAAAAATTACAGTGGCTTTTCTTTAAACTACAAGATTAGAAAGAGTACATTTCATGTCTTTTAAGGGTAAATACATTCAAATATGAGAATTTAAACCTTTAACAATACTTTTATGTAGCCTAAACTCTACAGATCTGTAATTGAAGATGTAATTGAAAGAGTGCGGAGTCTATTTGCTGAAGAAGGTGTAGAGGAACAAGTCTTAAAAGACTTGAAACAGGTTTGTAGACAATATACATTTCTCTTTTCTTTGTTTAAAAAAACTGATGAATCATAGTTCTGATTCTTAATTATAGTTTAGTACCTATCCATTCATTGTGCTGTCAGAGGACAATTTAATTAGAAAAGCTTTTTAAAAAGGAGCAATAAGTATCTTGATAATGTTTTGTTTTTGAAAAAAAGCAAACAATTTTTCTCTGCAGCTCTGGGAAACCAAGGTTTTACAGTCCAGAGCCACAGAAGACTTCTTCAGAAATAGCGTCCATTCACCTCTCTTCACTCTTCAGTTGCCGCACGGCTTGCATCAAACATCGCAAACGTCAACAGGTTGGATAGTAAATTAGTCCTATTTGGATCTTCAGAACAAATTCACTTGGTGATGTTTTTAAATTAGGGTAATACTTTTAAGATAAGAAGGTTTGTCTCTCAAAGTTATTATTATTAAATAAACAACAAATCATTACTCCATGTAACTACTGATTTAAAAAAGTAAAATCAGTTTCTTAAATTATTATTTTAATATCGACTGCCACAAACATGATAAAGCCTTACTTCAGAGGAACACGTTGTCTAGTTTGTGGGTTATTAGAGCACCCACTGATTCTATCGGAGACTTTGATTGGGTCTAGTCAAGGAGTGACCCAGCCTTCATTACTGAAGCAGCAGAGGGAAAGATGCTTGAGAACACGTGCATTTGCTCTCACCCTCTTGACTTCTGTATTATAATCCTTTTAATGTATTAGAAGCAAAATGGGGGGTTAATAACAATATGGGGACAGACTGCTTCCCTTTTTGAATATATAAAATAGTGGCTAGAAACTGACTATATGCATTTTACCTTTATTTTTGGATTTCTTGAATCTAGACCTCTGCCTTTAATGAAAATACTTGTGTGTGTGTGTGTGTACACACACATACATATATACATGTACCAAAACCAAAACCAAATTCACTGCCGTTGAGTCGGATCTGACTCATAGCGACCCCTCATTGGGTTTCCCATCTTCCTTCCAAGGAGTAGCTGGTGGGTTTGAACCACCAGCCTTCTGGTTAGCAGTCAGATGTCTTAGGCACTATGCCACCAGAGCTCCCTACATACATACATATGTGTGTGTGTGTAAACTGGAAATGACTAACTAGATAAAACTGATTCTGTTCTCTTTCTAACCTTTATTTCTTCTTTTCTCCTCTGCTTCTTATCATCTTTATGCTACTCTAGTGTGTGTGTCTATAAACACACACACACACACAGACACAAAAAAGTTTTATTGAGTTTACCTGAAATTGAATAGATTAGTGTCTGTAACAAGTTCAAGTAGTTTTGGATTAGATTTCAGTAATAACTAGAATGTTAATTGCATGCTTGGGTAAATTCATATGAAAATTACTTGTGTCAAGGTGAAGAGACGAGGTCCTAGGATCCTTACTATTACAAATCAGAGAATTTAAGGTTGGCAGCATTATTACTTATAAAAATGAAGTAAATTAACAGTGAATATTGAATCACCAAACATGAGTTAGTTTTACCTAATATAATGTTTATAAAATTATCCATGTTTTAATTTCTAAATTGGCATATTGAAACATTTTATCAATTGTTGGGTTTTGCGTTATGGTTTCATTTTTAACTTCACTATTTTATCGGGACATCCCTGATGTCCTGTTTAAATAACATTCTTTTAAAAATTTTTTATTTACCTCTATTTTATTTATTAAAGAAATTTAAGGATTTTTACTGACAAGTGGTATGGAGGTTGTGGAGTAAAGGAAGAAAACACCTGACATTTTAACCAAAACCTAGTTAAACATTTCAGGTTGTCATTCAAAATTGCAATACTTGATTTCGCCACAAGATGGTAATGTTACCAGTGATTTGAATCACAAAAAGTCTTGGAGCTACTATGTCTAGCTGATTTTCACTGGGCACCTTATTCTACGCCTTGGAAGTTAGTATAATGAAATAAGTACATTTTAAGCAAGACAATTTTTCTTATTATTCTCTTCTACATCATTTATAATGAAGTAGTTCAAGAGGAAGTACATGTAGCCTTTAAAAGTGCATTATAAGCCTTGTTCCTCTCTCTCTTCATTACTAGGTACCTACAATAAGATTTTCAAAGTAAACAGTCTCAGAAATTGAAGTACTTCTTAATCTTCTTATTGCATGCTTGAGTCTGATTAAAATAACCTAAACTAACTTCTACAACCTTTTTCTCTCCTTTGATAACAAGTTTAAATTAGATCTGCAGTGGACTAAGTAAGTCATTTATTTGTTTCACCTTTGATGCTTATTTGCCCAACCATATTTTCTTTGAATATGTTGTTTGTTGTTGGGTGCTGTCGAGTTGTCTCTGACTCATAGTGACCCTATGCACAGCAGAATGAAACACTGCCCGGTCTATGAATATTGTATACATTTATTTAGTAATTTCCTATATATTTACTTTTTATTTTGTCTTAGGACTCTTGTATTTACCTCTTAAAAACTGAGAACCCCAAAGAACTATTATTTCTGTGGATTATAAATATATATCATTAGAAATTAAAACTGAAATATTAAAAAAATTTGCTTTATTAATAGATTTTAAAAACCTATTACATGTTAGCATAACAACATGTTTATGAAAAATAGCAATTTTCCAGAACAAAAAATACTTTGTTAGAGGAGGTATTGTTTTACTTTTCTTTGCAAATCTTTTTAATGTCTGGCTTAACACAAGATAACTGGATTCTCGTATCTGCTTCTAAATTCAGTCTGTTGTGATATGTATTTTTGGTTTATGTATATAAAGAAAATCTAGCCTCTTAAACTACATAGTCAGAAAAGAAAGGAGTATTTTAATAGCTTATTCAGATAATTTGATACTACACCAAAACTCCACATACGGTAGTTTCTGAGAGGTTAGCCACAAGGTGTAATCTGAAACCATATCAATAAACTTTTCATAATATCACACTAAAATTTTTGCCTGTCTTGCACCTTGAATTATCCTTTAACCTACATGTAATTTTGTAACATATGTCGGTTATTTGAAAAAGATTTGTTCACTGAGTTATGTAGCTGACACATTGTTTATTATACAAAATAAAATCCTATTCATTAACAGCACATCATCTCATCACAAACGTATTATGGGCATGAGAAAGCTGTCAAGCTTACTTAAGTAGATAAAAATTTTCCAAAATTCTGATTTTTGCTTGAAAGCTTGATTTTTCTTTTTTCATTGGCAAACAAATCTGTCGGTTGTTTTCCTTGAAGTAATGGGCATACTTAACTCATATTTTAAAAAAATAGTCTGCCAAATACCCAAATCTGTATAACCATAGTTTCTGTCAGTTATTATTTCACATAAAAATGCTATTTTATGAAAAAAGAGAATAGATTTCCAAATTTAAGCAGTCATACCAATGTTCTTCCTTGCTCTTTGGGGTACTGAAGAAATGCTTTATGTGTTCTTATTTCATCACACAGAATATGAAAGATGTGTACTTGAGTATTGAAATTTGGTAGCATTATTATGGTTTCATCAAGGACCTTCTTAAGTGAAACTCTTGTTTGTTTTCTTGAGAGTGGCAATGGAGATCACGGGACTTACTGCTCCAATTCATGCTAGAGTGACTAGTTTTACTCATCATTGCTTTTGTATCACCAAAAACAAACAAAAAAACTAAAAGAACAGTGAAAAAGTCATATATTGTCTTGGTATTCTGAAAATAATTTTGACTTCTTGAATACCCTGAAAAGGTCTCAAGGACTACTGTTCTGTACTCAGGGTGGTGATGTGTGATTTATAATTCATTTTTGAGAATGCAGTGGGGGTCTATTAATAGCTACCTCAGAATAGCAGGTGTGAACTACGACTGTCCTGGGCAAACAGATGTGTAGTCAGCTACCTGTCTATAATTGCCTTTTTCTAGGGAACTTCCAATCAGCTTCTGTTATTTGGTCTTTATCGCAAATGATTTTTTTTTTTTCTTTTTAAATGAAACTATCAGTGAATATGGGAGGAAGAAAGGAGTAGAACAGGAACATTGAGAAACTTATGGTGGCTTTTTATCTTTGAGCATTAAATACTCATAAGCTATAGGTATAACATGTCCAGTTGTTCTCGAACATGGAGCTGGTGAAAGTTTCAGCAGTGTTATTGGTTCTTTAGAAAATTTGAGGCTTAGAATAGAGGCATACCTCAGAGATATTTTGGGTTCACTTGCAGAGCACCACAATAAAGTGAATATTGCAATAAAGGGAGTATTGCTGTAAAGCGAGTTACATGAATTTTTTGGGTTCCCAGTGCAAATAGTAAAAGTTATGTTTACAATATACTGTAATCTATGAAGTGTGCAATAGCATTATGAAAATATTTGAAGTATTATGAGAATTACCAAAACGTAACACAGAAACTTGAAGTAAGCACATGCTGTTGGAAAAATGGTGCTGATAGACTTGCTCGGTGCAGGGTTACCACACACCCTCAGTTTGTTAAAAGATATGAACAAACAAACAAACAATATCTGTGAAGCACAGTAAAATGGGGTATGTCTCTATTCACTTTGTTCCTCAGGAGACATCAATATACTGTTGATTAGTCATAAAGAAGAGACAGTCTTTGCACCTTTTGAATCATGTGACTTGGTATTAGGATTTGGGATGGTTCAAAACAGGACCAAGAATTGTGAAACTTTTACCTGTCTCAGTGTAGCAAAGAATATTCGATGCTGGTAAGGGAAGTTCAAGTTGAAGCTGAAGACAATTTAAACAATGAGAGCGAAAATATGACCTGGATTATATCCCTCCTGAGTTTAGAGACCATCTAAAGAACAGATTTGATGCACTGAACACCAATGACCAAAAACCAGAGGAATTATGGGATGACATCAAGCACATCATCCATGAAGAAAGCAAAAAAGATTGTTGAAAAGACAGGAAAGGAAGAAAAGACCACAATGGATGCCAGAAGAGACTCTGAAACTTGCCCTTGAACAGAGAATAGCTAAAGCCAATGGAAGAAATGGCAAGATAAAAGAGCTGAACAGAAGATTTCAAAGAGCAGCTCGAGAAGACAAAGTCAATTATTGTAATGAAATGTGCGAAGACCTGGAGTTAAAAAACGAAAAGAGAAGAATATGCTCGGCATTTCTCAAGCTGAAAGAACTAAAGGAAAAACTGAAGCCTTGAGTTGCAATATTGAAAGATTCCATGAGCAAAATATTGAATGATGCAGGAAACATCCAAAGAAGATGAAGGAATATACAGAGTCACTGTACCGAAAAGAATAGATCGATGTTCATCCATTTCAGGAGGTGCCATATGATCAAGAACCAGTGGT